ACAATCTGCGCGCTGTAGCTAAGTAATTCTATCGGAAATTGGACTTGCGTATTATGTGGAGTACTCGAGCAAGCTCTGCAGACACAGGTAATCACAGGATGGCAGTGCAACCTGGACTCAAATTCACTAATTCGTACTCTCAAAACCTTTAAATCCTCGAAAACGACTCAAGTTTTCATCCACAATTTTTCAGCATTACCGGGGATTCACTCGCATAACTTGAGACCGCGTTCTCATTTCGCATCTACTACCAGAAAATATGTCGGACAAGACCCTTACACCACCGAATCTGAGTGCTGTGGGCCTCAAATTGATCCAAAATTGCTCCGCTGTCATATCCGAGACGATCTTCTGGGGTAAGGATTTTCTTTCATCCCAGAATCAAACAACTCAATGATTTTCAGGTGCATATTGCATTCTGGTAGTCATCGCACTAAGAAGTCTCGGGTGAGTGTTTGCAAACCGATCTTATGCTTATTCGCTAATTTCGTCATGAAGAGTATTTACACCAAGCCGACACAAGGAACTTACCCCAGCTCGACTGTGGATAGTCACAACGACAATTATTATGTTTTTAATGTCAACTGTTTTATGGGCGTTGGATTTTGCCACCGCAATACAACAAATGCGGATTGAACTCGTGTCAACTGCAGACACCTTCAAATCGAGAGGGAGTTTGTTCAGTGAAATGATGAACACGAGATATTTTGCCCAGACAGTTTTGTTCACTGCCGAGGTATTAGATTATAAAAATCGCGAAAAGGAGCTTCACTGACTTGCCTCGATGCTTAGATTATTCTCGGCGACGCAGTAGTTGTGTGGCGTGCTTGTGTGCTCTGGGATTGGAACAAGATTCTTGTATCTGTTGCTGGTTTTTTACTTTTCTCTGCATTTGGTAAGCAAGCTTCAAAGATTTGGATTGAAAAAGATTCTAATCCTCTTGGAAAGTACTCCTCACGTTCTTTGTTGGCTGTATCGGACACACTGGCTGGCATTTTGCAAACCACGAATCTCCTATTTGTGATCGTTCTCAATTAGCAACATATGCGGTTTCAGTGGCGGTTAATGCTTGGGCTACTGCTTGGATAACCTATATGGCATGGTTTGTACCGAATTCAATTCATCAATATGATGACACAAATTTACTCTTTGCACAGGAAGTTCTATCGTTTCGGTGCCGATTCGGGCCTCCCTGCCTCCAAAAAAGGTTCCAGAGGCTATAGAACATTATTCCTGATCGTAGAATCTGGATGGATATATCTATTAATATGGGTAAGTGCCACATGACATCCCGTCTTTAGAACGTCTACTGATAATACTAGTTATCCAAAAGCTTCACTTACCTGCCTGTGACTGGTTCACCCAAATTTGCCGCTGGGATTCTAAATTCTATCGGCAATCAGATTGCGGTGAGCTCAAACGAACTACATGAAGAGATCAGTGTACTGAGGCTTTTTGAAGGGTTTGTATCCCACCATTTTGATTACTGTAGTTCACCAGCAGCGGGTCAGCTGGGGTTCTCCAGACTACTCACATAATATCAACATAGCAATTTCGACCCCAAGTTTCGTGAGGAACGATATAGAATCAAGAGTTGCGTTTGCGCCGGGGCCGTCTCCAAAAGATACTCCTGCTGAAGAACGAGGAGAAAATTCTGCAAATACTTCGTCAATAACTTTATCGTAGTCGCGATTAGTAACATATAACGGCTGTCAAGATTTATACTACCGGGTCAATGAATGATAAAAAAGGCTTCAAAAGATGCTACTGGCTTGTCGACACCTACATACGCAGCAGGCTTGACTGCATGACTAAAGGAGATACTACCAGCCCGCAAATTTTGTTGTGACCGAATGGCAATTAATTAGACCTAAATAGTTCCGGAATCATAGTCAGATACTACGTCGAAAAATGATTTTTCCAGATTTTTCCCATGATAAATTTGTGTTTTGCCACTTTCAAAAAAAAATGTTGTGTACCTTTGTGGACCCCGGTCCGAAGAAATTTATATAGTATACTAATAATTACAACTAGTAATCTACACTGACGGCCAAAAATCTTTCACCCCTACCATATAGGGTAAAAGATCCAAGCCCGATTTTGTAATGAGTAACACCTTTTCAATTGATTTCATTGCCCTTTCTGATGCTGATCAGTGTGGCTGCCCTATCAGGCCCTGATGGTAAGCATCCACAAAACGAAAAGAATGATTGATGAAGCGTCGAACAGTACCTGTTGGACATGCATCAAGCCACTTAATGGCTTGCATCCTCGAAAATTTTCTTGTCCTCCTCAGAGTCATGATAATGGTATTTAGCCCACCCAGTACATCTCTATAGGATTGAGTTCACAGTGAAATTCAGGTAAGAAGATAATTTCATGCCCGCAATTCTTTACAAAACTCTCTAACATTGAAGGTTAGAAGATATGTCAATGGAGAAAGCCGGTGAGCGCGGACATCAATTTTCTCCGGAATGGCTCGTGAGAACTTGAATTTTTTAATAGAATCATAATCAGGTTAATGAAAGGAATCGCATTTTACTGGATTTTTAGCGATTTCAATATTTAGCTTGTGCCGAATTTTTTGGGGTTCAATATACTTGCCAATGGCTCGATAAAATTTTGTCAAAAATTTATCAGAGCACCCTCTTTGATTCTGCTTATCTCCAAAGACCCTAAAATAGGTCGGTAAAATTAGCGGGCTTTGACTGTCCGCAACTGTAGTTTATACTTCCCTTCTGAGTCTGGAATTTGTTGTTCCTGACACTGTCACAGCTTTATCATCACACGTTTGAGCAGTAAAAAAAAGATTGCACTTGTTCAGAAGCCATTCTATACCTTCCATATCTATTCTAGCTTATCCCGGTTCCATGAGGCGAGGGGAAGACATGGATAAAGTCAGATTTGCATCTCCGAGTCCTTGTGCTGTGCATATCCTTAATAGGGATAGTACTCACCATCACAGGATGGCAGTGCAACCCTTGTACTCTCCCAAAACCTTTAAATCCTCGAAAACAATTCAAGCTTTCATCCACAATTCTGCAGCAATACCAGGGACTCACTCACATAACTGCGTTCTCATTTCACATATACTACCAGAAAATATGTCAGACAAGACCCTTACACCAGCAAAACTGAGTGCTGCGGGCCGCAACTTAATTCAAAATTGCTCCGCTGTCATATTCGAGACAATCTTCTGGGGTAAGGATTTTCTTTCATTCCAGAATCAGACAACTCAATGATTTTCAGGTGCATATTGCATTCTGGTAGTCATCGCACTAAGAAGTCTCGGGTGGGTGTTTACATCTTTACATACTGATCGCATGCTTATTTGGTAATTTCGTCATGAAGAGTATTCACGCCAAGCCGACACAAAGAACTTACCCCAGCTCGACTATGGATAGTCACAACAACAATTATTATGTTTCTGATGTCTACCGTTTTGTGGGCATTGGATTTTGCCACCGCAATACAACAGATGCAAATTGGACTCGTGTCGACTGCAGACACCTTCAAATCGAGAGGGAGTTTGTTCAGTGAAATGATGAACACGAGATATTTTGCCCAGACAGTTTTGTTCACTGCCGAGGTATTGGATATATAATAAAAGTCATGAAAAGGAGCTTCACTGATCTACCTCGATGCTTAGATTATTCTCGGCGACGCAGTAGTTGTGTGGCGTGCTTGTGTGCTTTGGGATTGGAACAAGATTCTTGTATCTGTCGCTGGTTTTTTACTTTTCTCTGCATTTGGTAAGCAGTCTTTAAAGATTTGGATTGAAAATTTTCTGATTCTCCTGGAAAGTGCTCCTCACATTCTTTGTTGGCTGTATCGGACACACCGGCTGGCATTTTGCAAACCATGAATCTCCCATCTGTGATCATTCTCAACTGGCAACATATGTGGTTTCAGTGGCAACTGGTGCTTGGGCTACTGCATGGATAACCTATATGGCATGGTTTGTATCAAATTCAATTCATCAATATGATACCATTGACTTTTAGCTTTTTACAGGAAGTTCTACCATTTTGGTGCCAATTCAGACCTTCCTGCCTTCAAAAAAAGCTCAAGAGGCTACAGAATATTAATCCTTGTTGTAGAATCTGGATGGATATATCTATTAATATGGGTAAGTGCTATATGACATCTTGTCTTTAGAATGTCTACTGATAGTGCCACTGATACTAGTTGTCTAAAAGCTTCACTTACCTGCCTGTGACTGGTTCACCCAAGTTTGCTGCTGGAATTATGAATTCTATAGGTAATCAGATTGCGGTGAGCTCAAATGAACTACATGTTAAGAGATCCATGTACTGAAGCATTTTGCAGGGCTTGTATCCAACTATCTTGATTACTATAGTTCACCAGCAACGCATCAGCTGGGGTTCTTCGGAATATTCACATAATAACAACATAACCTCAAGTTTCGTGAGGAACGATATAGGATCAAGAGTTGTCTTTGCACCAGGGCCATCTCCAAAAGATACAGCTGCTGAAGAACAAGGAGAAGATTCCGCAAATACTTCATCAATAACTTTACCATAGCCTAGAATTCAATCGTTCAGCTCTGCTGAGCACTTGGAAAATCTAAGTTTGACATAGATACCATATTTGGACTGTGTATTGAAAAAAAAAAGTTGGGGATACTTTCGGTTACATTTGTCTACCTACGCTCATTTGTGCTTTTACCTTACTTGCACTCTAATCAAACTTGAAAACGAGGTGCATGACCTCGCAGGCTTTTAAGTTATATGGGGACACTGAGAAAGTGGCGACTTGATTAGATGCAGGTTCGTATTCTCGGATATCAATAAAGGTCAACGACTACACAAGTACGATTAGCAATGATATTTGATGCGCAGTCCAAAGACTGCCCTTCAGGCTTCACTAAATGAATACGCCAAATTCAAACACAGATGTTCCAAGCGCTCAGCAAGAGGTCCAGATTAATGTGACATACCCAGTCAATGGATTATGAAAAAGGACAAGTGAAAAATGTTCGTCACCTGTGCGATTCGAACACACGCGGGCAAAGCCCAACCGCTTAGCTAATGCAATAGCAGGCGATCCCGTTAACCACTCCGGCAAAGTGACTTCTTTTGAGAGGCGGCACGAGCTATTAAGAGCATTCCTTTGAGATCAATTCAGCTTCTACGGTGTACAAATCATAGGTGCCTTCCTAATCCACTGCGAACTCTCCATCTGCAGCTGGGTAACAACAAAAGCCGCAAACCCTACCCGCGCCAAAGTCGTGCCTACTTTTCCATCCCCAATAAACCCCGCGACAACTTCCTTGACCTCCTTGTTCGTCAAGATCGGGACTCTGACAATCGTCCAATCCAAATCATTTTCTTTCTTAATATTCTCTCCAATAGCAACAACGTCCTTGTACGCATTGTGCGCACCAACAGCAACGCCTGTGACGAGTGCTTGGAATCTGATGTCAAACTTGTCTTCGGGCGCGGTGATTGAGGCGGTACCTGTATATCGAAAAAGCTATAAATAACGCAAACACGTCGGGAACGACATGGCGACTGGAACACACGTACCCAGTACAATGAGACGTTTGATGTTATGTTTGTGCATAATTTGGATGACGTTCTCTATGGCATGCGCAAGAGGCTGACCGGAAGGGTGGAAGGGTCCCTTCTTGACACTAGGTCCGAGTGCGGACAAGACTGCGTCTACGCCTTCCATTGCCTGCGACAGCAACTCGAGATTTGAAAGTTGACCATTTATGATGGTGACGGCGGTATTGGAGGATATATCTTGGGGTATTTTCTCGGGCGAGCGAACGTAGAGAACGAGAGACACGTCTTTGAGAGTGTCAAGAGCTTCGCGAGTGAGAAGGATCCCCACAGGGCCTGTAGCACCGAGGATAAGAAGGCGCATAGCGACTGTAGTCGGGTCAGAGAAGATGATGGTTGAAGTCAAGTTTGTTTTGAGAAGAAGAGAGTAAGTACACGGATCGAAGGCTATGACGACATGCTCATGGGCTCTATCACGATTCTCCCGTCGGTTTTCTCGCCCAATCGCCAGCTCGTTGCGCTTCTTCCTCCACATCTCTTATTTCCTGTCCGATTTCGCCTTCCTGATCAACGTCCAACTGAACCATTTCCCTTCCATACGCCCTCCCGAATCTTCCCACAAACCCATCTATTTCCGCATTCAAGTCAACAGAAACACCCGTCGCAGTCTCTATAGAACCCGCTTTAACATCTGCCAATCCACACGCAACCACCCTATCAAACCATGCCAAAGGTTCCTTCGTCACGTTCAACGAAAACCCATGGGTCGTAAGTCGATGCCGGATCTGAACGCCAATGCTTGCGACCTTGGTAACAGGATTCAAAAACACTCCAGTATTATCAGACGGAACGGGTTCAATCTGATGTGCTTCTCGTAAGTGTCGTCCGATAGTCGTTTGCATACGACAGATGTAATCACGAATACCCATTGCTGGAGTGTAACGTGAAAGGTCGAGGAGAGGATATCCAACGATTTGGCCTGGGCCGTGGTACGTCAATTCGCCTCCTCTGTTGGTCCTAACAAAGTCGGCTCCGATACTGAGTAGTCGGTTTCGTTCATCAGAAACTGATTCTTCAGTTTGTCTTCGACCTGCGGTGTAGACGGGACGGTGCTCAAGGAGAAGGAGGATGTCTTTGTGAGAGTTGTCGAGTTTTCGTTGTGCTAGTTGGAGAGAGTGTACCCTTTCCTGAAGTGCCAAGGTCCTCGCATAGGGCAAAGGTAAGGGGAATTTGTGGAAGAAAATGGGAGGAAGACTCATTGATGTTTACGTCATGCCACTGAGTACAGGGTAAGTAGAAAGTAGCTCAATAATAACATAGATAATACAACGTGCCAAGTAACGTAGTGCGAAGAGTAGCGTATGGTCAGAGAAATGAGCGTCACACAATCCAAACCGTCCCCGAAAAGATGAGAAAAAATCGTCCATATGACATGTAAGTACTATGAATCAGACGAAGGCAAACTTGATTGTCCTCGGGTAGCTCTAGGAGCTTTCCTGGGCCTCTCCCCTGGTTGTCTTTGTTGTTGTAAAAATGCTGGTCCTGCAGTAGCAGTCCCAGCTGGACTTGAAGGTTCCACACCCATTGATGACCGTTGCTGCCCACTATACCCCATCTCATCCCCACTGAGCGGATCGCTCGTCGAAGAACCATAAGTAGAAACCGTATTTCCATCAATATACCTCGGTGGTAGCTCTACAACTTCTGTGCCATCTGCATGGTACACAGTAACGGGAGCTCTTCCTCCATCGTGGTGCACAACATATACATTTGAGCGACCAGGAGCAGATTCAGATCCCGACCCTGTGTGCTCGTGTCCCGATCCCCGAGTATTCGAGTCTGTTGGTGAACGAGGTTCGCCTGGTAGAGTAAAAGGCTCGACAACGTATCCCGTACTGCCTGGGCCGCTCAACGACCCGTTGCCTGACATATGACTACCTGCACCCGGTGTAGGAGGGAAGGGGTCTATGAAAGCCCGTGTCGGCGACCGTTGCGCCAGGTCCATATAAACTGCATCCGAGCGACGACGCTGACGGAAGAAAAAGATGGCCAAGGCCCCTCCAAGGAGTAGACCGCCTATGGCGCCTCCGACACCAGCTCCTATTGCTGTCGTTGTGGATACACCATCATCTTCTTGTGGCGAACTGAAATAAGACAATAAATTGAATTGGAATTGAATGGAAAGTCCGCACTGCATACCTTTTGGAAAGACAGGTCGTGGGTCCGTTTCCACCGCTGTGTAAAGGTCCGTACGACCAGAAATTGCCATCGGCATCGACGACACTGATGAAGAACGACGACGCCCAAGACAATTGAACAGTCCAGTTCATTGATGACATTGTATCGGATGTGATGTTCCACGGAGGATGTAGAGTGGGCGCAACCTATGATAGAAAAGTTGAAAAAGACAGCTCCAAGGAAAATATGGAGGCAACTGACCGTGAAAATATAGGGCGGTGTGCCATTTTTAGGTGTCACCTGTATGTCTGTGCACTAGTTCCTTTCAGCATGGTGATTGAAATATGGGTCGACAATAATGGCCCACCTGATCAATCCAGCCGTACTGTGACAAGGGTCCGTCATGAACTACAGCTTCGACATCCAGCGGTCCAAGAGGAAAGGTTGCATTATTACAAGAGGGAGTAGAACTGTTGGCAATCACAGTATACATCCCCTGGCACCCTCCAGTGTTGCCATTCTTGTCAAACTTGCAAAATTATCAGAATTAATTTCTATGATGGACACGGGAAAACCTCACCATACAAATTTGATACTGCGCGACAAAACCGTTAGTTAATGTCCCAGCAACGTGCAAGCAGAATGGAACACGCACCAGCGTACCTGGACCAAAGGGAACTTGCCAGTCCTGCAGACGACGGTGAGCAATGGAAAAAGAAATTAAAGGGCCGCGCGCACAAAATTTAGTGAACTTCCTGCATCGACAATGAAAGGAAATACGAATGCACTGGAAATAATCGTTACAGGGGAGACGGAATTTTGATTATGCGTACTGACGAAGTGTATATTTGGAGTAGATATGGGGCGACTGGGCTAGGTCTGAAATAGGTTGTCAGTAACTGCAGCAGTAATTATCTAGATCACACACCCTGGATCACCCGCGTTCCTTGCCCAAGTTAAATGAATGGTTTCACATTGTGCTAGAGAAGTATTCAGAGGTGAAAGAGAGATAGTTGGAGTTGGTATTCACTAGTTATGGGAACAGGCACTGCTTGACCTTGAGGAGTGTAGTTGAATTCAAAGCTCTGTAACGGGTTTATTTAGCTCTGGAAGACTAGTCGAATGAAAAAACAAGTACTTGAGGAAGAAAATCTGTGATTTCAGCAAAAACTGGGCGGCATGATAGAAGTATTAAAGGAATGACAGTAGTAATGGCGGACAACATAAGGGTCGGGGGAAAAAGAAGATTTAGAGTCAGACATCACTGAGGGCAGCACGTGGCGCTAAAAGTAGCATACGAAAATCAGAGACTTTGTGAATCACGTACTCTTCTCTTCTTGCATGGATGACCCTTCCACGTCGGACGCTCCTCCGGCTCCCCACCACCTTAACCCAATCGTCGGCTTCATAATTGGACTGTCTATTATCTTGCTAGCATCTATTCTTAATGCCGCAGGTCTCAACTTGACCAAACTCGACCATGTATGTCTCATTTCTACCAACCGTTTCACCACTGAACCCTCGCTAGGTACGCACAAGCGCTATACCCAAAGCCAATCGGAAGAAAGACTGGTTGCGCCCTCTGTGGCTCTTGGGCATGTTACTCTATATGTGCGTCCCTGCTAAATTCCATGTCATCATCACTGACAGCATAGTACAGTCTATCTCAACTAATTGGAAGCACTCTCGCTCTCGAGTACATGCGTGCAGGTATGTGGAACATCATGACACGTCTCTGTCTATTCTGATTGCCCTTTAGAGTATGTCGCACCCCTGGGATCCACGTCTCTCGTGTTCAACTTTCTCTTTGCGCGTTTCCTTGTCGGTACACCCGTTACGAGCACGGACATCTACGTACGTCGCCCCGGAAACCACTAGAAACACCTATTGACATTCATCTACAGGGTACTATCATCGTCATCCTCGGTGTCATCGGTATCGTCGCGTTCGGTTCCATTAACAGCGGTCTCACGAATGAGACCAATGTCGCACATCTTACTTACCTCTGGAGAAGAGGCGGCTGGCTAGCCTTTTTCTTCATCATGACATTTGCATTACTCCTACTCCTTCTGTGCACATACAAACTCGATGCTGTGCTGACTGCGAGGTCTGACATCAGCGCGGTTCCGTTCGCTGGCTACAGCACATCATCCGAAAATTCAGCCGGGAGGAAGTCCAGCAAGGGATTTTTCTTGGACACGGTCGCTGCCGTGCAACGCATGTGGCACGGTATGATGGCTAAACTGGGCGAGTGGCTAGAACTGTGGACAGCTGCAAAGGATGACAAAACTATTGCCTGGACACTGGGAATTGGCTGGGCCTGTGCAGGTGGTGGACTGGCGGGCGGTTGTTTGGTATGTCACTCCCGTTTTCGTTCTGACAGCACGT